ATAGAGTAGGCCCTTACTTTAAAAATTGCAAACTGGTCCTTTTCCTTAATTGCATGTCAAGGCTCGTAATTACCTTCTTTACAACACAATCTCCCACCCCCCAACTCCATTGGTTTTTGCAGAACACCCTAAGAGAAAAATTCTCTCTTCTCCACCTCGGTTGCTAGCGCCACATCTCGTCAGCATGCTATTACTGGAAACAACCACCAAATAACATCACCCCTCATCAAATATTGAACAACTTATAAACCACGATTGGAATCACGTTCACAAGACAATCATGCCGCTGCAAGGCTACGAACCCCTCAAAAAGTCCTTAGGGCTCTGATTCAAGATGTGGCTTAGGATGTTTGAGAGCGCTCTTAAGTGCAGAAGCGAGAGGATGTGGGATTTGTATAGATTCTTGAGTGATGTGATACTATTGTTGTTTGAAGATATTGCATTTTGTTTGGAATTAGTATTATAATACACATGTTATCAAATTCGCAATACCAACTATCGTTCCAAGTTATGTAATAATCATCACACCTCATATTGCAATCGTTTCAAGATTCTTCACCTTGGAGTCAAAGTTAAATTATAACTATTCTTATGGAGGATTCTAATCTTATCATGGTAGCTCTGATATCAATTGTTGTTGTATGTAAAGATAATCATGCTAAGAAACAAAAATCACAATATAGCAAACAGTTTAAGATTCATACCTGCTTAAGACATCATCAATATCAATATTAGTAACTAGATCTTCCCTTCTTGTTCTTTACAAAATATTAGCTGTCAATGGGGCAAGCCAATAAAACAATATGGAGAAGAGAGGGACCTAACCTTTATATGGAAATTTATTGAGCCGTCCCATTAATGCTCCAAACCTAACTAAGGTTTACATATTTGTGGCCCACATACTTAAATTACCACATTATATAAAATATAATGTGGTAACTTGGCAGATAACTATTTAGAAAATTTCTTAATAAAGAAATTGTGAGCTGCTATAGAAACCTAATGTGTAATCAACACAAGCTCAAGAGGTAATAATCACATGTTTTCAATCATGGGATACTTCGAAAGCAAATGTGTTATTTTTAGTACAGTTTAGATGATAAATCATTATATTGTATCATGTTTGTTGAAGATTTGATATAATTCAAGAGTTGGAACTTGACTAAGTTGTTTCGTGTTTGTTGTAACATTTTGGTAACCAAAAAAAAAAAAAAAAAAACATTGGAGAAAAGAATATAATTGTCTTCCTCTCCTTTACTTTCTTTATATAGAGAAAACCAAGAGTATTCATATGGAAATAGAGTACAAATATAGAAACACAATAAACCTAGTTGCATTCTTGCCTAATTTACGTGATTATAATATATTTATTTCTTTAAAACTCACCCTTAAGTTGGAGCTATCATATAAGCTCACTTTGGAACAAAGAAACCTTGATCGATTACCACTCAATGACTTTGAAAACATATTAGCAAGTTGGTCTCCTATTTTTACAAATAGTGTACATATATTATCACTCACTATCTTGTCCCGAACAAATTGACAATTAATTTCAATGTGTTTAGTCCTCTCATGAAAGATTAGATTTGTTGCAATATATAGAGCAGTTTGGTTATCACAGAACATTGGAATTGGGTTAGAAGGTGAGATTGATTTCTTGAAGAAAGTATAGCAACCATGTCAATTCACTAGTAGTATGAGACATTGCCATATTATTCTACGGTTTACTATACAAATAATTTGATTATAATTTGAGTTCTTTGTAAATGAGTACAAAACCTCAAATATGTGACTCTCTTGGTAATTCATTTGTCCAAAAACCCTTCGAGTTTTTAAGAATCTGATGGTTGCCTTGACTTAAGTCAAGATTCTGATAAAATCTTTTGCATACGTTATTTTCTTCGTGTATTGTTTATACTATAATTACTTGTACTTGTTCTTTATGATATAGAATGTGCTGTGAGTGTGCTATTGTGGTAAAATCATTGTAAAATAACCATTGATTATCTTGTGAAACTGATCTGTTCTATTTTACAACTTTAAATTAGATACTCAGTTGATCTCTTTTGTCTTGATAACTGAACTATAGTAAGTTGTAAAATTCTTTTAAGTGTTTTGTGATTTGACAAAGAACTCAAAGTATAATCAAATTATTTGTACAGTAAACCATAAAAATAGGAATGAACTCACCATATCCCTTTATTAGGACTTCAAGAAATAACACCAAACTGCATTATCAACCATTACAATTTTTAGATCTACAGTATTTGGAGACAAGAACAACAATCAGGCTGCTTTTGAGCTTTCGTCACTGGCAGCTGGTGCGGAGCCAGCACCCAGCAATGGGACACAGCCGCGCGTGTTAGCTCCGCTGGAAGCTTTAGATCCGTCAGGTAGCAAATGACAGAGTTGCAGTCACAGTCTCGCAGAGCCGGACGGGGAAGAAGATGATAGAGGAAAGAGGAAAGAGGAAAGAGACAACCCTTTTTTTTTTTTTTTTTTTTTGGTTTGGGGCCTTGAGCAATTGGGCTAAACTGCTAAAGCCTAGAAAATTGTTGGACCTATTTTTGTTTAGCCCAAATGCCCAATTGTCATAAGAAATATGGACCATTTATTAACTTCATTATCAGCTGAAGCTGAAAGCCTGAAACGGTGAAACCATTTTTTTTTCACAGGCAACCAAGAAAGAATCCCGATTCCCAAATCGTGAAAGAAAGCCAAACCCTTTTCTTCCCTTCTCCAATTGCACAACAAAAACCATATCCAGTCATCCTGTATCAAATCGTAGACTCTTAACTCCAAAGCTTACTTAGTCCATTCTCCAATTGAAAACTATTTACCCTCATCCTCTCAAGCAAATCTCGATTTGTCTTTCCAATCCAGCCATCGGAGTATTTTTTTTTTTCCTTTCTTTTAGGAGGGCTTTTGGTTTTTGATCTGTTTACCGTTTTTTTTTTTTTTTTTTTTTTTCCTTTTTTTTTTTTTTTTTTGTCATTTTTCGTAATAGATTGTAGTATTTCATTGTCACTATGCGTTGTGTATATTTTTGAGAAAATTGCTTCGTCCTTCCCGAACTTATTGCCCTAGCAGCAACTTTGCCCCCAACATTTTATTATAGTAGTTGCACGATTAATAGAAAATGTCCATATTTTTGTTAAATCGTGGCTCTCTTATGTTCAATTTTGTGAAGCTAGATTTGCTTTCCAATTTGGATGGTTGAGGTTATGTTCTTTTTGCTTTCTGTTTAGCTCGTTATGTAACTATTTTCTTGAAAAAAAAAAAGAACTGGATTTGTGTTGTAATATAATTGATTCATTTTTACGAAATTATGTTTGTGAATTGTGATTTATGATAAGTAATTTATATTTTATGAGTTATGATTATTGATTTAGAAATTTAAAAAACTTGAGAATGAGGCAATTTTGAAACGTTTTCAAAACATGAGACCCCATAGAGTGTAGTTGTCTAAGTTTACTTAGTAAGGTTATTTTTTTTAGTATTTTGAGTTGTATTGAAGTATATTTTCATATGTATACAATTTTGACGTTTTGGCTCATTTACATATATATCGAATAACTTTTAATATTATTAATCAAATTTTAATAAACGATCGAACTTTTACGATCATTCATTGTTGACGGTTAATGGTCAACCTCCGCCCTAGCAGGTCTTTGATCCTAGATTCGTCTCTGACTGGAAGGCTCTTAATCTCCTTTTGAGCTTTCGTCATCAGAAGAAAACCACTGCAATAAATCGGAGCCAAATCGACCAAAGTTACATCTTGAGGGAAGCAAACTCAAACCATACCTATAGTTTCTTCTCTCTTGCCCTTTTCAACCATTCACTCAAGAACATTAATCTCAACCCCAAACTAGATTTACAGATTAACTCTCAAGAATCTAAATCTAGTACACATTTTAGAAGATGAAGTATGTTCTTAAACCAAAAGAAGGCCAATGTAATAGAAGAATCCAAAATTCAGAAGTGAATGAATCAACCCTAAAATCCACACCGTGCAAAAGTAATATGGCTAGCATCTAACAAACTGGCATGTATATAGAAGCCTCCAGAAGGTGAAAAATCCAATGGTTGAGGAGGCAACACTTGGCAATATCCTACGAACATAGCCCACTAATAAAAACGTGTGTTGCATACGCGTTTTCCCGCCAAATTTGTAAAATGAAGATAGGTCACGTTTTTCCCACAATTCATTCCAGTAGTCAACGGTCAACAAATCAAGCAATCCAATCGGCAGCCATATCATCCTGGTTAAGATCAACAATTATCCCACATTTCCGTAAGATGGCACAAGGATTTGAAGCTAAGAAAACTGTTCTACAATGAAGAAGAAAGGAGGCTACTCAAGTAAGGAGGTTTAGTTGGCAGCTCTTGTAATCCGGAAAATGATGGTAGCCAAGGAGGTTTGCAAAGGAGGCTAGCCAAGCACCATGGACCGGACTGCCTTCTTGGTGAGTTAAATTTAATTATAATTAAGTATTCGATTCGCTCGATCTAATGTATCAATCATATAATATTAGACATGTACATTAATACCTTAGTTCTATAAAAAAATTTCCATGTCAAATCATTGCATTGTTTAATCATTGGACTAATCGAATAACCACTAGTAGCGACAAGGATTGTGAAAAAAGAGTCCCCATTCGGCACCCCTCCTAATAAAATATTGGCCAACTGCTAACAAGCTTCATGTTAAATCTGCATAGAAATTGACTTTATTAAAGCATTATAATACGCACAATTAGGCACTAAGTACCAATCAAATATTTTAAATATTATTGTTAAAGTCGCTTGTTTTTCCATCTCCACCATTCATTTCTCCGACCATGATAATGATCCTATCTGGGCACCTTCGTCCTCTCTATAATGACGTCCAATGTTATTTTATTAGCAGCATTAAATTAATTAGGCTTTTATAATTAATTTAACTCTTTGTTTACTAAATAATTGAATTCGCTAAGGGTCAAGCTAGTTTGTCCCAAATATAAAGGCTTTGCTAAGTGCAAATTAAACTGAACAATGGAAAGTCACCGGAACTTGCCAACAAACACGGTCGGTTTTTGCCTACTTCCATCCGAGCTCATACAATATATATTTCTTCATCTAACATTACCCGACATTATCCGAATAAGGTCTGTTAATAAATCAATATTATCTATAATTTCGGACAAAGAATTCGTTCGAAATTATAATCTCCAATCAGCATCGGCCTTTGCAACTTGGCTATTTATTTACAAAAAGAGATGGCATAGAGATGCAATTCTTCAAGGTTTTGTTGATTGTTCAAATCAATGGTTCAAAATATTGATTGGAGAGCTGTTGAAAAAGGTGGTTCCACCAGGTGAAGACGTTTATCTTCTTGCAGCATCAGGTAATTTCTTTCTTTTTGCCATGAATACTAGCCAGCAACTCGTTTCAGTTAATCATGTGACAAGGGCAGTTATAAAGATCCCTCAAAGTCCACTTGGTCCACGCGGTACGTCCTCGTGGAGACGATCCGGTATGAAATTGTTCTCCTACCCTCCCGGATCAAATAATTTTCAATTTTTGTTTGCGGAATTAAATGAAAGCCGTCCGATTTTATACGTGTACGATTCTCAAACTGACATTTGGGTGTCTAGAGAAGCAAGAGAAAATGATGGGATTTTGTCACATGGCTTTGAAACATCAA